AATCAAATATAACTTCAATAACAGTAAAAAATATAGGACTAACTAGTATGTCATCCCCAAAAGATTTTGATTTGTATTAAGCGAGAAATGGCAGCACTTGCAAGTACTGGAAAAAGGTCAAACTCCTTAGAAAAGGTTTACAACGCCATACTTATCCTTTCACTATCTTCTGTAGAAGCTGAAAGAAGTTTTAGTGCTGCGGGTTTATTTATTACTAAGTTGCTGCTGCAATTTCCAATTCTTACTATTACTTTCATACCTATCAGCAAAAAAATTCTCCATAAAATAGGAGTCTGTTTACTATTGCTAAAAACCATTGAAAAAAGGTTTTGTCTGTTATTCTCAGGTCACAAAATCTTGTACTTCATCTAAAAAATTAGGCTCCGGAGAATCTTTAACAGTGTCCATAATAAGGGCAAATCTGTTATTCCTACTCTCTTGCATTGTTCAGATTTTGTTACCTTGCCTAAAGACAAAGCTGAATTGTTTGCTAAGAACTTTTCATCAATCATATATCTTGATTCCACTAATCACATCTTATCTGATACAGCTGACAAACAGGTTGATCCATTGCTTGACATTTATTTCACTTCAGTTTCTGTTTCTAAAGTGATTTCCTACTTAGGCTCTTCTACAGCATGTGGTCCGGACAACGTACATGTTATAGTTTTGCAGAGGTGTTCTCTGGAGCTGTCGTCTATAATTTTAAAACTTTTTAGCAAGTTTTTATTAAAGTCTTTTTAACCTGCCTGCTTAAAAGCGGCATCTGTTATCTCTATTTTCAAAAATCCTGGAGAGTGGTCTGACTCGTCTAACTAACGTCAGGGTACAGGGATTCCTGAAGGTTCTATTCTTAGTGCTATACTTTTTTTTAATTTATAATAATGGTTTCCCAGAAATTCTCACATCTAGGGTAGGATTGTTCACTGATAATTCTTCCATTTATTCTTGTCTTGATAAGAAGCCAACACTTTATGATTGCTTGTAGAGGGGATTTGAGCTTGAAAAAGATTTCACTTTTGATCTATCTAGATCTATATTTATGAACAGTAATGTACTCAATGACTCATCTACCATTTGTCTTCTATTATTAACTCTTACTTTCAATCTGGCTTGGAAACCATATATCAAATTATTTCAAAGTTAGCATCTGGTTGGATCTCTTAATCATGCTATTAAACTTAATTCTACGTCCTTGTATGTACTTATGAAACCCTTTCACTTTTAGACAAGTTGCAAAAACGCATTGTAAACATAGTTGATCCTACTTTTGCAGCCTACATTATTTAAAAAATTAAATTATTGTCACATCGTTGTAATGTTACTTTTCTAACTCTTTTCTATTAATACTATAATGGGCGCTGCTATATAGACCTTGCGTCTCTTGTGCCATTGACAAAAATTTAATCTCGTGTTACTCATCATTTAATTACGCATCATCTTTTTTTGTGGCTGTTCCTAAGTGCTACAAAAGTTTTTGTTCATCCATTTTTTCTTTAAACATCTTATTTTTGGAATTTGCTCCCTTCATCTTGTTTTCCTGATTCGTAAAATTTGCAATTATTTATGTTGTCTATTGATTGTTATCGTCTTTTATAAACTTCATCTTTTCTCTTCCAATAACTTCCAACTAGTAGTGGTTGTTTGCGTCCTTGTTGGAAGTGAAAATATTAAAAAAAGAAACATCTGAAAAAAATATATGTAACTACATCTGGTTAAAATAATGCACTATTATTTAGTATCTTTTCCGAGATCTATTACACTTGAAAAAAATTATATATGTAACTATATCTTGTTAAAATAATGCATTAACAGTTAATATTTTTTCCATATGTAATTACATCTGCAAAAAATAGTATATGTAGGTACATCGGGCTAAAACTATACATTATTAGTTTTTAAAGATGTACCCAGCCGGCACAACTCAAAAAATAGTTACGCTTGGTTTCTGTTGCGTTTTTAAAACCTTCTAAAACAAAAAGAATAACACGTGTCAAAAATGGATTTTATTCCGTGAAATTAACTATTATTATTTACGATAAATACCAATTAAAATATTAATGGTTTCACCGTTATGGAAACTTAGTATTATATTATAATAACTTTCCGTAAGGAATGTGAAACTACTGATAAAAGCATGCAACATTTAAATTTAACTTTAAAGCCTCAAAAAATACGAATAAAACTGCCCGTAATATACACGTGTTTTTGGTTTACGCCTGGATCGTGAAAAACACGTGTCTATACAGGTTTTAATTCCGAAAAAAAAACTAGATGTGCAGGTAGGGTAACTAGATCAGTTTATAATTATTTGAGTAATTACCCTTCATCTTTTAATTAGTAAACTATAAAGTAAAACTTTTTCTTAACTACTATTGTTTGTTTGAAAAGTTTTCTTAAAATCAATTTCTCATTACACATTTGCATCACATTGTGATAGTTAAAAAGAAGTAGTTAACTCTGTAAAGTATCCAGATGTAGTTGCACAGATGTAATTATACTTAGATAATTGAAAACGTGTAATATTTGTAATATTCTATTATTAATATCTGTAATTATTATTAATATTATTAATAAATTATTTATGTAATTAGTATCTGTAATATTATTAATATAATTAATATAATTAACATCAATATATTAATAAACTAATATCTGTAATATTTAATTGTTTTTACAGATGTTACTAGACACCAATACAGTTTCAGATGTTGTAGGAAAGTTGTTATTAAACATGGCGAAAACCGATGTTATTACCCTGACCCAATATGATTAATTGCTTATCTTATGTGTTATTTGTTTTATTGCACTAAAATTATTTAAAAGTATTCATATTTATAAATTTTACATCGTAATTTTTTAAGGAATTTTTCATAATTATAGTTTGTATTATTTGAATTATTTAAGTTATCTACAAAAAGTATTTGGACTATGCATCATAACTGACGAATGTAATTTTTATTTGTAAGTTTGATTGCAATAAGCATCAATTTTGGTATTTAGAATAATTAAACACATTGTTTATTATAATAAAATGATTCTGTTGTTCAAAACTGATTTCTTTAAATAAGTGTATGTGAGTAAGGTTTGCTTTAAATATATTTTTTAGATTATTTGGATAATAACAAACACTTTGATGTGTATCATTAAAATTAGTTTACCGTCTTTAAAAACTTTAAAAGCTTGCTTTAAAAGCAATTCACTGCCTAAATTTGTTTGCTTCGATAAATAAACTTAAGCCCTTAATTTGCCAAAAATAAAGAACTTTTTTTAAGCTTCTAATCTTAAATTAATCTGGTGATTATTTTTCTGTATTAAAATACACATGGGCAGTTACGAGATCAATGTTTTATTGTAATTAAAATAAAAAATGATATGAAATTGTAAACGTGTAAATTGTTTATTTTATAAATTTTTATTTCATTTATATATATATAGCTGTATCCTAATCAGTATAGTCGAAAGAGGCAAAATAATAAAGAGGCAAAAATAAATAAATAAATAAATAAAAAGAGGCAAAATAGTCAAGTACTTGTTGTTGTAATTCTGTTCATTTATTTAATTGCGAAGGAACTCAATAATGCATCCAGTATAGATTTAAATTGAACGTTTTCAATTTGCATGTAATTTGGGTTGTTTATTAAAATTGACCCATAAGTATTAACAGTTTGAAAAAATCCTTTGAAAAAACTAAACAAGCTGTCTGGTTTTGTAATAAAGCGTCGTGACAAATCAAGCCGCGTTAGTGAACAACGCAATCTAGTTTTTAATATGCTTCTGTTTTATATTTAGTTGCTGTTAAGTTTAATTAAAAAACTAAAGTTGCACTTAAAGCGAATTAGAAAAGGAGCTTTTGTCGTCGTATTCGAAATCGTTGGATCGTGGAAATAACAGATTTCAATCTGTTTAATGCGATAACCAGCGACAATTCATCTGAGTTGAATGTTTTTTTTTTGTTACGTGTCAAACTTGTGTTATGTTGTTATTGATTTTTTCAATCAAAAATAAAAAAGTCTGCTTAATCTATTGTTTTTTGTCTTTAAATACGCGTCTTATGGTTGAATTACGTAAACATCCCAGATGATATTTAATTTTACCATTTAAACAATATTTGTATCAGGGGTAATAAAGGGTTACCCATATAGGTCCCGGCATTGATTGGCTTGGTAACTTTTGAATTTGAGAAATGTCTAATTGACTTGCGAATAATTGTGCCTGCTGATTTGATATGTCAATAGGTAATATATTGTTATATTATTTTATATTATTGTTATATTGTTATATTATGTTGTATTATTATTATATTGTTATATTATTTAAAAACTTTGGCATATAAAATTTGCCAAATGGTCACACACAAGCAGTGAACGCCTGAGGGAAGAAATAAAGTACATCAGAATAAAGGATAATTATTTTTCGAACAAAGCATACTTTGACAGTTGTCAAGACAAAAATAAAGATTAATAGAGGAATATCTAAAAACAAATAAGACAGACAATGCACTTAAAACAGTACTTAACAATAATAATAATAATAATAATAAAAATTGTTTTATAAACACTAATATGAACAAAGATATACAACAAATATATCACCAGACAAAAAACTTATAAAACAAAAAATTGATTACAAAACAAAAAGTATGTTAACAACAATGGAAGAAATGAAAAAAAAAAAACAGTAATGCTGATGTGTAAACATAATTTGTGTAGTGATTAAGTAACAAATATCTCCTCAGAGTCGCGTCTATTATTACTGGCGTTTCAATGAGGATCAGCATTTATAACTAGTTTATCCCGTCAGAAAAACGTCATCGCCACTTATGCTTTACCCCGCGACTAACGCCTTAACAATACTGCAGTAAAAAAGGATTCACTACAAATAGCCAAAACCCAACCATACCCAAATTTGTAAAAAACTAATATTTTTTTAATGATATGATGTAAAAAGTGTAGATCTACTGTACAATATAAATAAAAATAACTAAATAAATCACTTACCATACCAAAGAAAACATGAAAACACAATAAATCAAAATTCTAATAGAAACATAAAAATACTAATAAATTCATTTTAAGATATAAAACCAAATAGTTATTATTAGCATAAACAAGCCCAAGATAATCAGAAAGCAGTATACCTCATTAAAAAAAAAACAGTATACCTCATTAAAAAAAAAAAGTTAAATCAACAAAACACCAATAGCCTTAAATAAACTCTAACGCTGTCATAGATACCTCATTCGAAATATGACAACCAATTAAAAGTGTAGGAAAATGAGCAACCCGCGAAACCTATAATCATAATAATAATTGAACAATATAATTGCGAAAAAAAATCGTCTTACATAAACCTTAAAAATGTCACCTGGATAAATGAAAACATTTAATGAAGGATATAAAAGAATTCTCTGAATAATAATAAAAGATGAAAATTGCGCATATGAAAATTAAAACAAAGCTGAGTAAATGCAAGATAATATAACATAAAAATTCCTTGTTAACAGTAATAATATGAAAATTAGCAGATAAATAATATATTAATGAATATTTCAATAAGAGTAACTAAATATTTTAACAAAGCCAGATAAATTTAAGCCAAATGAGTGGTTAAAAATTTGTTTTGGGTTTTATAACAGTGATATATGTCGTGATATTAAAACGATGTTAAAAAATATTGTTAAGAAGTAAAGTTTTCTCTACAGTCCGAATTACAAGTAACTTTGAGACCATATCTAAATCGAAACTTCCGAAAAGTTAAGTTTTCTCTACGGTCCGAATTAAATGTAATTTTGAGACCATAACAAAATAATATATATATGAAAAACTCAATCAAACATGATAACCAAAAAAACATAACATACAAATCTATATCTACATTTTAACCACATACTAACTATTAAAAGAAAATATTATCTAAATAAGGATGAGTTCAAACCAAGATAATTTATCTATGAAAGAACAAACAGTATGCAAATGATGTAAACAGGCTGCATGTGCATAAGTGTTTATAGGTGTAATGTGTAAGTCTGTGTTGTTTATGTTGTTCAGTAGAATCTTGTGTTATTAGTAACCAGCGTAGAAGATTTATCTCTGAACTACACCAAGCCAGCCCAGCCATACTCTAGAAAACCATTATGGATTAAACACTTATGTATGGATTTATAACCGACTTATGACTAAAAACAAATATCACTAACCCTTCGGGCTAGGCCCAATATTATTTAAAAACTTTGGCATATAAAATTCGCCGAATGTTTACACACGAGCAGTGAACGCCTGAGGGAAGAAATGAAGTACGTTAGAAAATTATTTTTATTGTTATTAATATATTGTTATATTATGTTATCTTATTGTTATATTATGCTTCGTGAAGTAACTAATATTATATGCATTTCATCTTTGTGCATCTATGATGCTTATCAGAATTATATCAACTAAGTATGAACAGAAACCATGCTATATTTTTAAACATATTCTTTAAAAACTATTGTAATTCGTATTCTCCGAAGTCTAAAAAAAAATATATAAAATTTTTTTGAAGAGTTAAATAAAATAGGTCAACAACTAGTTTCTGTTATGCAGTTATATTAAGCTATGCCTTGTTGTTAAAATGATAATATTCCGTACCGTTAATAACATCAAAGTAAAAAGTAGTCTATTTAAGTAATTTTTTATTAATTTTATTTTTAAGCTTTTTTTTTTCCCTCAAAAGTCATATCCACACAATTAAAATAATAGTTAAAATTTTGAAAGATGATTAAAGAACGCATTGATTTTACGCAGTTTTTGTTGCACTTCAGCATTTAAGGTTGCTTGACATTGCTTATGGTTAATTTTGTTTACGAACCCCGATATAAAGATAAGATAAAGTAACATTAATATAAAATAACAAACATATCTCACTTGCTATTTTCTTTTTATCTCCATTGCTATCAAAAGTACGAAAATAAATAAAATCGTTGCGAGTGGGGATATGATCTAGAAACAATCTTCTTATCTACAGTGAGCATTTTATATAACAACCATTCATTTGTTCTATCTGCTTTATAAATTGATGTCGTAGGCCAATTTTTAATATAGATCGGTATATAAATACCTAAATTTCGTTAGAGAATCGATAAATAAAGATTAAAACAATCTTAGTGTGATAAAAATTAAATTATTCAATATCATTATTTACTGTGGCGGATTAAGACTTCTTGGAGTCTGGGGCTATTTTTATTTTGGAGGCTTTTTTATGGGCCAGAGCCTAGAAATGACTAAAAAAAAGGTTCTCTAAAATTTTTGAGGGCCCCTAAATTTGCGGAGCCCGGAGCTATAGATGAAATTTGCTGGGCTAGAAAAGAATTGGCAGATGACTTAAAAGATTGCAAACTATCTGAACAAGAAAATTAAGATGAATAAAGCAAATTCCAAAGAACTGATGTTCGAGAAAAAAACTAGACTATTAAGAGTTTTTGGCAAACTTAAGAACAGTCACAGTAAAAAAATGAGACTTAATTGAATGACGAGCAACACGAGAATGAACTTCAATAGATGGCATAAAAGACGCTAGCTTTTTAGAGCAGTGCCCAATATAATATTTGTAGAAAAGATAAATAAAAGCAACGTTACAACAATGTGATAATGGTAGGAGGTTGGCTGCAAGACAAAATCAAACTATATTTACTATGCGTTTTTACGCCTAGTCTAAAAGAGAAAGGGCATCATTAGAAGATCAGCCCCAGATATGGCAACAGTATTCCATACATGGGATTTATAGAGATGAAGAACAGAATATGGAGTAAGAAAGTGTCATGCACGATAAAGAGACCTTAGCAGATGCTAATTTTGCAATGGATTTCATATACGGTTTCCAAGAAAGATCAGAAGAAAGAGTTAATCCTAGAAGATAAAAGGTAGATGACTTATCGAATACATTACTGTCCATAAATATATGAAGATATAGATTATTGTGATAACAATTAGCTTAAAGAAATAGAGTTTATCTGATTTGAAATTCACCAACTGTTGAGAGCCTCATGCTCTAGTAAAAGTAAGATTCTTTTCAAGCTCAAATACCTCCTCCAAGCAATCAGAGAGCGTTGGCTTCTTATCATGAAAAGAATAATTGATAGTATCCTCAGCAAACAATGCCACATTAGGTATAAGAATATCTGGAAGATCTTTAATCTAAATTAAAAAGAATATAGGGCCAAGGATTGAACCTTTAGGAACCTCTGAAGTTACAGGATAAGAAGAAGAGTGGTGTCCAGCAAGGACAACTTTTATACTCCAATCGGAAAGGAAGTACTCAATAATCTTAAAGGTGTTATCAGATACACTGAAAGGAGAAGCTTATGGAGAAGACCAGCATGCCGAACGTTATCAAAAGCTTAAGAACAATAGCTTAAATCTCTTCACCTTTGTCTAATGCACAATTAAACCTATTGGTTATTACTGTTAGCAAATCAGCTATAAAACGAGAAGATCAAAACCCATATTGATGATCAGAAAGTAAGTTATTAGATTCAAGATGAGACATTAAGTATTTGTTAATTAAAGATTCAAAAATCTTGCTTATGATAGGAAGAAGACTAATGGGACGGAAGTTAGACGAATCAGATCGCTATCCAGAATTTTTGAAAATGGAGATAACAGATGCCACTTTCCAGTATGTCGGAAAACAATGATAAACACTTGTTAAATAGTTTTGAAAGTATGAACAACATCTTCGGAAAACACTTATGTAAGACTACACCAGGCATGTTATCTGGAACATAAGCTGTAGAAGAGCCTAAGAAGGAAATCACCTTTGATACAGAAGCTGGAGTAAACAGATGTCTATTTTTAAGAGAACTGTTTTGCTGATAGATATGGAAGTAACGGTTTCGATTGGAAATAGCAGCTGCACAATATGAGAAAAACCACGGAGAAGAGTGGGGCTTGACCTGGAATCGTCGAAAAGGAATAAAAGATTTCATGCCAACAAATGTGTTTCTTACGTAGGAAGTTACGTAAGAAACAATTTTGTCTGCGAAAGACGAAAAAAATTTATCCAAGGGCCATCACAAAGAAAATCACGGAAAGAGTCCCAGTCAGCTTAAAGGTAGTTGTAAGAGGTACGATGATAGGGAGATTCTGATGATGAAGAATAATGAAATATTAGTTTTAGAGAGATCAAACTATGATCAAAAGCACCTTAGGGTGAATGTGGAGAAACTAAGTATTGACTAGGATCAGAAAGAAGACATAAGTCAAGTAGAGAAGGTAAATGATTTGGATTGTCTGGAAAGTGAGTGGGAAAGTTGACTATTTAAGTAAGTGTTGATAAAGGCAAAAGTTGAGAACCTTAACACCAGAAGAGTCACTGACATTCAGTATGATGAGCATTAAAGTCAACCACAACAACATTTTTGGCTGATGGATAAAGAGAGAGGGCTCGGTCAATTTGATCAGAAATAACATCAAGAAGAGTGCAGTCTTGAGATGAAGGAGAGGGATATAGAACAAAGAGAAAGGCGATAGAGTGAAGTAGTGCTAAACAAAAGCGCATAAAAGAATAGTTTGTGAATTCAAACAATGTTTCCCGACAAATGGGTGAATTCATACGAATGTAAATGCCAAGGCCAAGTATGTGACTGTTGGAGTCTTTACGAATTAAAGCAAGATAACCATCAACACTAAGATCACAAGATGAGACAGCTAAACTCAAATTAGTCTTACAAAGTGCAAGTAAGAAAAATTACATAGAAGACCACGAATACTAAGTGACGAGCTCGATAAAGAGAAGCAACTTTAGCAAATGCTAATTTTGCAACGAATTTGATATAAGGTTTCCAAGAAAGATCAGAAGTAAGAGTTAACCCTAGAAGATGAAGGGTAGGAGACTCATCGAGTACATTACCGTTCATAAATATAGGAAGGTCTAAATTATTGCGATAACGATTGGCCGAAAAAAATTGAGTTTTATCTGAATTAAAGTTCACCAGCCACTGCGAGCCCCATGCTGTAGCAGAAGTGAGATCCTTTTCGAGCTCAGATGCCCCCTGCAAGCAATCAGAGGGAGTTGGCTTCTTATCGTGACAAGAATAAATGGTAGTATCATCAGCGAACAATGCCACCTTAGATCTGAGAATATCTGGAAGATCGTTAATGTAAATTAAAAAGAGTATAGGGCCAAGGATTGAACCTTGGGGAACCCCTGAGGTTACAGAATAAGAAGAAGAGTGCTGTCCATCAAGGACAACTTTTATATTACGATTGGAAAGGAAGGATTCAATAATCTTAAAGATGTTTCCAGATACACCATAAGAAGAAAGCTTATGGAGGAGACCAGCATGCCAAACTTTATCAAACGCTTTAGAAAATTTAAGAGCAATAGCCTTAACCTCTCCACCTTTATCTAATGCGCGATAAAACCTATCGGTTATTACTGATAGCAAATCAGCCGTAGAACGAGAAGATCGAAATCCATACTGATGATCAGAAAGTAGGTTATGAGATTCGAGATGAGAGATTAAGTGTTTGTTAATTAAAGATTCAAAAACCTTGCTTATGATAGGAAGAAGACTAATGGGACGGTAGTTAGATGAGTCAGATCGCTCTTCAGAATTTTTAAAAATAGGGATAACAGATGCTGCTTTTCAGCAGGCTGGAAAACAAGACTCTGATAAGCACTTGTTGAATAGTTTTGAAAAGATAGACGTCAGCTCAGGAGAACACTTCTGCAAGACTATAACAGGTATGTTGTCCGGGCCGCAAGCTGTAGAATATATATATATATATATATATATATATATATATATATATATATATATATATATATATATATATATATATATATATATATATATATAATATATATATATATATATATATATATATATATATATATATATATATATATATATATATATATATATATATATATATATATATATATATATATATATGTATATATATATATTTATATATGTATATATATATATTTTTCCCCTTTTGACCCCAGAATTTTCCCGGATATATTTTTTGATATTTTACTATGAATAACTTAAATTTTTTTATACCTTAAATTAACGTCTATTTGTTTAAAGCAATTTTAGCTTACCCAGCCGGCATTTGGTCCTAAAAAAACGTCTTTTAAATGTTCGAAAGACGTCTTAAAGCAATTTTTTTCATTTTAATTTGTTTAAAGCAATTTTTTTCATTTTAATCAAATTAAATGATTAATTTAATTATGATAATTTTTATAAAAGTTTAAAAAGTTAAATATTTTATATGCAAATTTAAAACACAAGAACGTACGCATGTATGTTTTATTAAACAAAATAAATTGTTATTACATATGTATTTAATATATACCTTCTAAATCAAGAAGATATACTTACTAAATAAAATCATAATGTTTTACAGTAATATGTTGAGACTAACTAATGCCATACTTTTGGATAAAATTTATTGCAAAAGAAATTTACTGTAGTAACATTGATTTTGCTATTTATTTCAACTAACGTATATTTAGGTGCTGCATTGGTTTGATAATGCTCGAGATAAAGACAAAGACGGCCGAAAAAAACGAATTTTAAATGCAGCATCAAACACAGAAAAGAACATATAGAATGTACATAATGCAGCAGCAAACATGTAACGTAAAGAATTTAGCAGCGAACACTTAGATCCCGCAGCCAAATCCCGTACGGTTTCCATTTGACATTCCGTACGGGTTCCGCACGGTACCCGTATCACAATGCTGGCTGGGTATCTTGATTTTTTTTCCCAATAAGTTCTAAATATAAAATAAATATTTCTTTTTTATAATTATTTACATTTTCTTTTTTCTATATGCAAAATTGCCATTTAAATATTTTTGTTGTAAATAAAGTTTTATAATAAATACAGTTTTGGGCTAAATAAAGTTGTGGCTTCGATTGTTGTGGTTGGAGCTTCAGTTGTTGTGGTTGTAGCTTCGGTTGTTGTAGTTGAAACATCCGTTGTTGTAGTAGCTTCAGTTGTTGTGGTTGGATTTTCGGTTGTTGTAGTTGTACTTCCTGTTGTTGTTGCAGCTTTAGTAGTTGTTGTTGTAGGTTTAGTTGTTGTTGTTGGTACTTCAGTTGTTGTAGTTGTGGCTTCGGCTGTTGTGGTTGGAGCTTCAGTTGTTGTGGTTGTAGCTTCGGTTGTTGTAGTTGTAGCTTCGGTTGTTGTAGTTAAAGCATCCGTTGTTGTAGTAGCTTCAGTTGTTGTGGTTGGATTTTCATTTGTTGAAGTTGTACTTTCAATTGTTGTTGCAGCTTCAATTGTTGTTGTTGTAGCTTCAGTTGTTGTTGTTGGAGCTTCAGTTGTTGTGGTTGTGCCTTCGGTTGTTGTTGTTGTATTTTCAGTTGTTGTTGTTGCAGTTTCAGTAGTTGTTGTTGCAGCTTTTGTTGTTGTTGTTGGAACTTCAGTTGTTGTAGTTATAGCTTTGGTTGTTATGGTTGTAGCTTCGGTTGTTGTAGTTGTAGCTTCGGTTGTTGTAGTTAAAGCATCCGTTGTTGTAGTAGCTTCAGTTGTTGTAGTTGGATTTTCGGTTGTTGTAGTTGTACTTTCTGTTGTTGTTGCAGCTTCAGTAGTTGTTGTTGTAGCTTCAGTTGTTGTTGTTGGAACTTCAGTTGTTGTTGTTGTAGGTTTAGTTGTTGTTGTTGGAAGTTCAGTTGTTGTAGTTGTGGCTTCGGTTGTTGTAGTTGTAGCTTCGGTTGTTGTAGTTAAATCATCCGTTGTTGTAGTAGCTTCAGTTGTTGTGGTTGGATTTTCGGTTGTTGAAGTTATACTTTCAATTGTTGTTGCAGCTTCAATTGTTGTTGTTGTAGCTTCAGTTGTTGTTGTTGAAGCTTCAGTTGTTGTGGTTGTGCCTTCGGTTGTTGTTGTTGTAACTTCAGTTGTTGTTGTTGCAGTTTCAGTAGTTGTTGTTGTAGCTTCAGTTGTTGTTGTTGGAACTTCAGTTGTTGTAGTTGTGGCTTCGGTTGTTATGGTTGTAGCTTCGGTTGTTGTAATTGTAGCTTCGGTTGTTGTAGTTGAAGCATCCGTTGTTGTAGTAGCTTCAGTTGTTCTAGTTGGATTTTCGGTTGTTGTAGTTGTACTTCCTTTTGTTGTTGCAGCTTCAGTAGTTGTTGTTGTAGCTTCAGTTGTTGTTGTTGGAACTTCAGCTGTTGTAGTTGTGGCTTTGGTTGTTGTGGTTGGAGCTTCAGTTGTTGTGGTTGTAGCTTCGGTTGTTGTAGTTGTAGCTTCGGTTATTGTAGTTAAAGCCTCCGTTGTTGTAGTAGCTTCAGTTGTTGTGGTTGTAGCTTCGGTTGTTGTAGTTTTAGCTTCGGTTGTTGTAGTTAAAGCATCCATTGTTGTAGTAGCTTCAGTTGTTGTTGTTGGATTTTCGGTTATTGTAGTTGTACTTTCAATTGTTGTTGCAGCTTCAATTGTTGTTGTTGTAGCTTCAGTTGTTGTTGTTGGAGCTTCAGTTGTTGTGGTTGTGCCTTCGGTTGTTGTTGTTGTAACTTCAGTTGTTGTTGTTGCAGTTTCAGTAGTTGTTGTTGTAGCTTCAGTTGTTGTTGTTGGAACTTCAGTTGTTGTAGTTGTGGCTTCGGTTGTTGTAATTGTAGCTTCGGTTGTTGTAGTTGAAGCATCCGTTGTTGTAGTAGCTTCAGTTGTTCTAGTTGGATTTTCGGTTGTTGTAGTTGTACTTCCTTTTGTTGTTGCAGCTTCAGTAGTTGTTGTTGTAGCTTCAGTTGTTGTTGTTGGAACTTCAGTTGTTGTAGTTGTGGCTTCGGTTGTTGTGGTTGGAGCTTCAGTTGTTGTGGTTGTAGCTTCGGTTGTTGTAGTTGTAGCTTCGGTTGTTGTAGTTAAAGCATCTGTTATTGTAGTAGCTTCAGTTGCTGTGGTTGTAGCTTCGGTTGTTGTAGTTGTAGCTTCGGTTGTTGTAGTTAAAGCATCCATTGTTGTCGTAGCTTCAGTTGTTGTGGTTGGATTTTCGGTTGTTGTAGTTGTACTTTCAATTGTTGTTGCAGCTTCAATTGTTGTTGTTGTAGCTTCAGTTGTTGTGGTTGGAGCTTCAGTTGTTGTGGTTGTGCTTTCGGTTGTTGTTGTTGTAACTTCAGTTGTTGTTGTTGCAGCTTCAGTAGTTAATGTTGTAGCTTCAGTTGTTGCTGTTGGAACTTCAGTTGTTGTGGTTGTAGCTTCGGTTGTTGTAGTTGTAGCTTCTGTTGTTGTAGTTAAAGCATCCGTTGTTGTAGTAGCTTCAGTTGTTGTGTTTGGATTTTCGGTTGTTGTAGTTGTACTTTCAATTGTTCTTGTAGCTTCAGTTGTTGTTGTTGTAGCTTCTGTTGTTGTTGTTGGAGCTTCAGTTGTTGTGGTTGTGCCTTTGGTTGTTGATGTTGTAACTTTAGTTGTTGTTGTTGTTGGAATTTCAGTTGTTGTAGTTGTGTCTTCGATTGTTGTGGTTGGAGCTTCAGTTGTTGTGGTTGGAGCCTCAGTTGTTGTGGTTGTAGCTTCGGTTGTTGTAGTTGTAGCTACGGTTGTTGTAGTTGAAGCATCCGTTGTTGTAATAGCTTCATTTGTTGTAGTTGGATTTTCGGTTGTTATAGTTGTACTTCCTGTTGTTGTTGCAGCTTCAGTAGTTGTTGTTGTAGCTTCAGTTGTTGTTGTTGGAACTTCAGTTGTTGTAGTTGTGGCTTCGGTTGTTGCGGTTGGAGCTTCAGTTGTTGTGGTTGTAGCTTCGGTTGTTGTAGTTGTAGCTTCGGTTGTTGTAGTTGAAGCATCCGTTGCTGTAGTAGCGTCAGTTGTTGTGGTTGGATTTTCGGTTGTTGTAGTTGTACTTTCAATTGTTGTTGTAGCTTCAGTTGTTGTTGTTGGAACTTCAGTTGTTGTGGTTGTGCCTTCGGTTGTTGTTGTTGTAACTTCAGTAGTTGTTGTTGTAGGTTTACTAAATCAGATAACAAAGCCTCTTTAAAAGCATTATCATCAAAATTATTACACTAACCTGGTAATCTGGGCACCATGATACCCAGCCGATATTTGGTCCTAAAAAGACGTCTTTCGAACATTTAAAAGACGTTTTTTTAGGACCAAATGCCGGCTGGGTAAGCTAAAATTGCTCTAATTTTTTTGATTTATCGCCATTTTAAAAAAATGTTTAAAGCTATATAATGGTACCGGTTTTATGACTCATATAATTTTATTAGTTCTTGATGTAATGAAAACTTTTCTTCAGATTTATATAGTTTTGAGCAAAAGTAAATTAAAAATTTTTTGTAAATTTTTAAAATTTACCGTGAGAATTTTGACTTAACTGTTAGACCGTGAGATTCGTTATCACACTGTGAGCCTCACAGTAAAACCTGAAGAGTTCGAAGGTCTGAAACCAACATCAAAAAGATAGTCATATAAAATGTTCACTGTCGCCATTTTAAAAGTTGCGGACCGCAGCCATTTTAAAAGTTATGAACTTTTATTCAATGATAAATTATATAACTAGATGTCTAACTTGCAGAATTATATTGGACAAAAAATGAAGCCGCTTTATTTTGTTTATAACAATAGTCCGTCATTTGTAAAAAGGGCAAAAGCTGTAGCTGAAGTGTTGAATGAAAGTTAAAAATGCAAGTCAAAAAATCCTAATAAATTAAAAATAATTCAAAAACAAATTTTAATAATTATAAAATACTTATAAAAGTTTTTTTATGAGCATATGTTTATTAAAAAGTATTTTAATTCATAAAAATGCTTCAAAAGCGTATGTCGTTTTACTTTTCTGTTCTAAACTTTAATCCCTTTTTAATCGAAAACAAATTAAGGAATCATAAATTATAATTTTACAAGTATATTAACACTTTTACGTAAATTGTAATTAAATTTAAAATATATTTACTTCAATTAAGAAAAGAAAAGTTAAAAATATTTGTTTACAAATTTAATCCGCCATTTGTAAAAAGGACAAAAAGCGGCTTCACTTTTTGGATCGAAGTTTGACATCTTGTTCTATAATATTATTGCTTTAAATTAATTAATTGATGCTTGCGCACCTAAACATTGCGCTATTTCCTAATCAATGATATATATTACGTATATATGATTGTATATCATTATATATCATTATTCCTATTATCGAAATGACCGTGACCGACTGGCTTCTAAAAAAAAAAAGATTCTTAAATATAAAATTACCCGACTGAATTGTGTCAAATTCTAGCCGACTAAATTCGTAAATACACCAAATATAACTTAAAAATCGCCTTCTTTGGAAGGTTGGAACATCTGCTACACACACACACACACACACACACACACACACACACACACACACATATCACACTCCTCCTTAAAACACACACACCCTCCTCCTTGCCTCAGGTAGCAGTGCAAATAAAAATCTTGCAACAAGAAAAATACTATTCCTGTTAAAGTCTACAGAAATAAATTAGCTACAAGGGAGACAAAAAGTAAAATAATTTTACTTTTTATATCCTTTTTAAAAAAACAGTTTAAGGTTTTATAAAGTTCCATTAATACAACTAAAAATACACATTCGATAATTTTATAGAAGAGATTATAGAGAACTTTATTAATTTATCTGATATGGTTTATTATTAAGAATTTTATCTACTTTTTTGACAAGTTTTATTGATTTATAAGCTTTATTGTGAAAAAGAGTAAACAAATAATTTTTGAGTTATTTTTGATTGAATTTACTTTTAAAAAAGCCAAATTCGGAACCCTATAACATTCTTGAAACGTCTATCTGTATCTGGCAACCATACTTTCTTGGATTGCCCATCTGTGTCTGGAAACCCTACTTGGACACCAGTGACGGATCAATGAGGGGGTGGTGGCTAACTATGTTGAAACATTTTTTTATTTTGCATCAAATTTGCATTTCAAAAAAAAAAAAGGTCCTCCAATCTAAGATTTTTAGGACGTTCAGATTCTGGTGGGGATGGGGGTGCATACCCCATCCGCTCTTTGCTTCCTGGATCCTTCACTGTTGGACACGATAATAGTTTTGCAATACAACAGGAAATTTGATTCCGGTTAAAATTTTAACTGCGCCCGGCACCAAATCTGTTTTCGGTCAATCACTAATTCCTGGATATTATGATCCGGTTTACTCTATTTTAAATATTTTTAATAAAGCAGTTTTCCCTAAAACAAATTAAAAAAAATCTTCATGATGATCTTAAATAGCAAAAAGAAAGTTTTTATGAAATATTGAGGTTACTCATTAATGGTGTAAAAAGAAAAACTTTAGAGTATTGCGGTTTTATTTCTTTAATTTTATTGGAAATTTGTTATTTTTTATTATTTTTAAAATAATAAAAACCTTGGCAAGGTCTATGTTTTTAACAAATATGAGTTTTCTTTTATGTTTGTGTGTGTTTCTCTCTCTCTCTCTCTCTCTCTCTCTCTCTCTCTCTCTCTCTAATATATATATATATATATATATATATATATATATATATATATATATATATATATATATATATATATATATATATATATATATATATATACATACATATATATATATATATATATATATATATATATATATATATATATATATATATATATATATATATATATATATATATATATCTATTTATATATTATATATATATATATATTTAAACCTAGTGTTTTTGCATTTGTAAAATTTGTAAACATGTTTTTAGCTACATTTATATATGTTTGAAACTGCTTAACTCCTAACCTATAAATATATGTAAGCAGTTTTACAAAAATTATGGTAGTAGTGTACCTTGGTCCAAGGTACTTTCATAATGAATTTCATTTCATACTTTCATAATGAATTTACTTATAATAGTATTTACAAAATCATACAAGTGTGTACTTTGATGCACAAGGCACACAACCTCCTATCTCCTAGGCTTGGAGATAGGAGGTCGTGTGCCTTGTGCATCAAAGTAAATTCATTATGAAACTATTTCTTTAATATAAAATGTAGTTATAGTTTATTGTTATTTTTTAATTAAGATTATAAGAATATAAGATATTTTTTATTAAGAATTTCTTAAGTATAATATGATTTGTGTATTTCTTTTTTAATTTGTAATTATTTTTTAATAAGTTTATTCATAAATAGCATAGTAATTAACTATCATTTGGCATTAACTTTTATTACTTAAATGTTGAGGAGACAAAATTTAGAGTAGACATTTGTCTACTATACATAAATATATATATATATATATATATATATATATATATATATATATATATAATATATATATATATCACTGTTCTCCAAATTGACCGCCAGGTTAAAATTCTCCCCACTCCTGATTTTTTTGCATTTAATTAATCATATGCATTAGTAAACACAATTTAAGTTGTCAGAAAAATCTGAACTAAGTGCTAAGTACATATTTTTCAAAATTATAACTTATAATTTTTCGCTTTTTGATTAAAGTCAGCCATTATGGTGGTCAAAATAAACCATCAACATTGATTAACTTCGTTTACAAAAAACACATATAACAAATAAATATATAACACATATTATATTAATGCTACTGATTATTTAAATTAAAATTAACTACAGCAGATTTTAGCTTTTTTCCATAATTTTTGTGACCTATAGTTCTTTTATAGTTTACCCAAGTTTTTTTAAATTTGTGGTGAACAGCTTCACCACATTGTTGATTTTCTTTTAAGTATATTAAACGAGGATTTATAACATTTTTGAAATCCTGCACATTTAGTCTTTTTTTTCCTTCACAATAAAGACAAGCATATTTTCCAGAATGACTTGAAAGTCCAAAAACACTGTTTGCACATTTTAAATCAAATGCTAAACTAAAATCTACTTCTTCGAGTTTCAAAGGTTCCAATAATTTTTGGAGATTGCCATTATCCTCTGAAACCATCTCCACAATCGCAAGGATAAAACAACGTTTCACACCAGAATCTTCATACATTTCAGATGAAGAATAATGATTTTTTGGATCAAAAACATTAATAATAACTTTAAGGAAGTTTTGACCACCATCTATAGATATTCTTGCTATTGCATTAGGGGTATCAATACCTCTTTCATCAATTATAAATTTGATAAATTCAGTTGTATTCTTGACATAAACTATATCTCTAACAACTATTTCATCACCGTCAAGGAATTCTTCAGTTTTACATTCATATAAAGTTTCTAGAGTATCCTGTAATTCAGTCATTTTAATATTAATGTTTGATTCTACACCAGTTAGATTACTGCGTAAAGTAGAACACAGTTTTTTAGTTTTGTTCTTAGAGAGTTCTAATACATTCGATAACTCCATAATAGTTTGGAATGAAACTTGATTTACTTTCTTTCTTTTCGACTTATTTTCATTTACTCCAACTGTAACAGAGAGAAGATTTCCACCAGTAGACAACACGAACTGCTCTCCACTTACAATGTTTTCACGTTCCATTTTACGTTTTAACAATCCAGAAGCTACTTGCTCTGCACCTTTATATCCAAGCGATTCACTAATATCAATTATATTGTTAACAGCTTTACTTTTGCAACAATCATGAGAAATTCCTCTACCTAAAAGTAATAGTGAGAAATTAAAAAACTATTTTAACAGTAGCTTGAAATTACGTAAAAAACAATAATACATTGAATCAAACTATAATGTAACATAAAGAGAATCAAACTTCAATTAATCTTATTTAAATTATAAAATCATAGTATTAACATACCAAGATTCAAATAGCAGAGCCCACAGATTTTCTTATTTGCACTTGAAAAATTCAATTCTGGCTCAACATCTGTCTGGATACATTGCAGTGAAGAGGTTCTCCTAATAGTATTTCTATTTATCTAAAATACAAATGTGCTTTATAAATTAAATCAGTGCTAATATATTTATTCATAAAAACTACATGATTTTTATTTTATATATATATATATATATATATATATATATATATATATATATATATATATATATATATACACATAAATATATATACATAAATATATATATACATACATATAAATATATATATATATATATATATATATATATTTATATGTATGTATATATATATTTATGTATATATATTTATATATACGTAAATATATATACACAAACACAAAAAGTAGCAATTCATCCACATTAAAGTACCTTTGATATAGTCTCTAACCAGTTGGAAAGATATGCAGTCTCCCCTTTGTTTAGACTAAATAAGTTTCTTCTGCAGTTGGAACAAACTACAGAAGGACAAATTCCAAGATCAGAATCGAAGTTTGGCCAGATGTATTCTTGAATTTTTTCGCGCACTGAAGGTGTTATAGGTGTTAAAGATTTTGATCTGATACCTTTATTTATCAAGCAAACTGCACAAGTACATAATTTGAAGTCTAACGCCATGTTGAAAAGTGAAAGTTATATTCGTAATTCAATTATATCATTGCCATAAATAGCTTATTTGACTACCATAATGGCTGACTTTAATTAAACTTACGAAAAAAAAAAGAAAAAAATTATAAGTTTTAACTTTAAAAATATACATACTTAGCACTTAGTTCAGATTTTTCTGACAACTTAAATTGTGTTTGCTAATGCATATGATTAATTAAATGCAAAAAAATTTAAAGTGGGGAGAGTTTCAACCTGGCGGTCAATATGGAGAACAATGATATATATATAAATTTATAATTGCTCTGTTCTTTTAAGAACATTGAGCACTCTATTTTGTAGAATACATTTTTTAAAATTGTTTAAATATATATATATATATATATATATATATATATATATATATATATATATATATATATATCAGGCTTTCCCAGGAAAGGCGTGCGGTCGCACGCCTTGTTTGTCCACGCATAGAATAAATTTTTCAGAAAACGTGACCGCGGCAATATTTCGTGTAAAAGCGGAAATTATTCACAGAGAATAAAAAATAATATTATAAAAAGGAAACGAAGTCTAAACAAAGTATAAAATTGGATGTAAGAAAAATTTTTTTGATAATAAAAAAAAAAATTAAAAAAAAAAAAAATTCTTGTAACAAAAAAAAAAAAAGTCTTGAACATTTTTTTCAAACTTTTTATACTGTTTTTGTTTGCTTTTTTAAGGGTTGCTATTTTCAGCTACAAAATTTGATACAAGTCAAGTGAAAGACGACGATAAGTCGTAAAGTTTTCACGAAAATAAAAAGACTTGATACGTAATTTATTCACGAACTTTATCAGACAATGTATTAAAAAACTGATTCATTATTTACGCTAGACAAATTTGGTTAAACTTTTTCATTTACTTTAGTTTTTACGAAAGTTTATGAAAGGCGTTGACTTTATTCCCCAATACTTTGACAAGAAAATAAGTTGCTGTTTTAATTATTAAATATATTATTTCAGATTTTAAACATAACAAAATTTTAATGTGAAAAAAGTTCTTTCTCGACTTATTCTAAACTGATTATACTGAGTCAATGCTCGCCTTTTATTACATTGAAATTATTCAATTGGATAATTTTGTAATTACGAAAGAAGTTAAAAAAATAATTGGATTGCTTCTGTTGTCATTGTTACGAAAACAGTTCCTTAGGGACATTATTATATATTAACACTTGTTCACAATGTCAATTAATGATTGCAAAATAAACAACTCAATCGTTTGACAATAAAATTTTATTTCGTTTAAAAAAAACAACAACATATTTTACTAATAAATAGCAATCGTTATCGTGTTTTCTTGCGTATCAATACATTCAAACATTTAAATCAATACACTTAAACATTTAAATGTATTTACAAAACATTTAAAAATTGTTTATAGTTCTATCGTGAATTTTAAAGTATTACTGACTGATAAAAGTCATAAACAAATTTACATTAAAAGGTCCTTTTATTTTCTTTAAACATTAATCTTTTTCTCTATGATTTGATTTTTCTTATTGATTTGATTTTTCATAGCTAAAATAACTACCACCCTAAAAAAATAAATAAATAAAATATAGGTAAATTTTTTTTTAATAATATACATTAATTTTTTAATTTTAAAGCACAAACAGATTTCTGTTATTTACTTTAAGATTGCTTGCATTTTTGCGGTATTTTTGTTTAGCTTTGTTTTGGCGCGAATTCTTGAAATGCATAATAATAAAACGTGGTCAGTTAGTTAGAAAAATTTATTCTATGCGTGGACAAACAAGGCGTGCGACCGCACACCTTTCCTGGGAAAGCCTGATATATATATATATATGCACAGTTGACTTTCAATATCTCAATATATATATATATATATGTATATATATATATATATATATATATATATATATATATATATATATATATGTATATATATATATATATATATCTACTGGGTATCTCAAACCTTTGTGTATCTCGAACTTTATTTCCAGTTCCCTTGCACACTTGTTTGAGCCAAAATCCTCTCAATATCTCGAACTCTCATTATCTTGAACTTTTTTCCCGGTTCCCTGAGAGTTTGAGATATCGAGAATCAACTGTATATATATATATATATATATATATATATATATATATATATATATATATATATATATATATATATATATATATATATATATATATATATATATATATATATATATATATATATATATATATATATATATATATATATATATATATATTCTTTTAGTTTGACCTTTAAATTTACTTTTTCTAATTAAAACAGCTCTAAACAACTATTTGACTTTAAAAATGACTAAATCAAGTACACTTTATGTAAAAAGCATTAAATTTAATTGAATAAAGTTAAAAAAATTTTACTATTGTTTTAAAAAATAAAAAAAACGCAATTTAATAGAATGTAATTTTTATTTTTTTACTGTTTACATACATCAACTGACAATTAGGTAGAACATGCAAGCAGTACTGCCTTATTAACTTATAAATAGGTAGAATAAACATAGGACTGATAAATAGGTAGAACTACCAAAGCCTTCTTATATTAACATATATATGCAATCCTTGGCAGGAATGGTAGCCAATTGTCAGTGCAATTTAACTGCCTATATGTAAGTAAAATTGTATTTTACTTACATATAGGAAGTGACTGGGGCCCCAGTCCTGGCTGAAAATGCAACTTTTTGCAAACTTGGTTGATAGCCGAGGCTAGAAAAAAATTTATAATACTTTTAATATAATTTTATATTTATATTTACAATTTGCTAAATACTGGCATATATTTATATATTTTTAAACTCTTGTTTACTTCCAACAAGATTGCAAGCAACCACTATTAAGTTATAAGTTACTTTATAATAGAAAATAGGGTTAAAAAGAAATGGTTAATTGAAGACCTAAAAGATTTTATGTTGTATATCAAAGGAAAACATGAAGATGAATAAATATATATTAAAAAAGAGTTTTTCTAATGTATTTTTAATATGATCCAAAACATTACAGTTTAAAACTTAAAAAAATGTTACTAAAGCGTAATCAATTAAATTTTATTTGTGACCTTTTTTAACTATATAAAAAAAAATCCTGCAAAAATGCTTATTGCCTGCTTCCGCTGCCATATTACTATTATATTATTGTTAAGGCCCTGCAAATCGGCAGTTTTTGTTTCAGATCGAATCTCAAATCAAAGCAGGTCTTGATTCGCGATTCGAAACACGTTTCTAATCGACATTTTGAAGTCTAACTTTAAGCATTTTTTATTTAATAATACATATTTCAAAATAAAATAAAATAAAAAAATTGTATAATCTCTTTATTGATACTTCTTGCCCTGGTTAGCCTTTTCAATGACTGATTAAAAAGGTATTTAAGGATAATTAACGTTATTTTGATAGCGCCAAAGCACAGAATATCTAAAATATCCACAATGAAAACAAAATAAGTAAGGATTTGATTTTTGAAAATTTTCGAATGAAATCTTGAATCATTTTTTCAATTCAATTCAAAGTTTCGAAGCTTCGCAGGGCTCTAATTATTATTTATATTATTATTATATTATATTGTTATATAATATATTATTATATATTGCTTTAGACAGGCAATTCACCGCTCGTACACTTTATATGTATATATATATATATATATATATATATATATATATATATATATATATATATATATATATATATATATATATATATATATATATATATATATATATATATATATGATCTATACATCAGCATATATAGATCAGCAAATGCTTACTAGTTTTGCTTATCTTTATAGCATACAGCTTTTTCAGAAAAAGAAGAAAAAAAACAAAGAGTAATAAAAGAAAACTTTCTTGGCATAACAGTCTAATCTAAACATCAGTCATGGACAGGAAAAGTGTGTGATTACCCTTGAATCTTGACCATGTAATGATTTTTTTTAAAAATCTTGACCCAGCTCTTTAGATGTTTAAAAAAGCGCTGGAAAAAACTAGCAAAATAAAAAAATTACAAACAAAAATTATTTACTGAACTAGTTCAGTATTAAAATATCTACATGAATTTAACAAATTGTCAACTTCCGTGCATGACTTGCATGCGTGATTATTCATGAGCTGTATTTAAGCGATTATTGTGATTCTATAATACATAATGCAATCCTTTAACTTTCTGGAAAGCTTTACTAATGTTTAAAGCATTATTTAAAAATATATATAATGCTAAAACATATATTTTTCGAGGAATTAAAGTTTATTTATCTAGTAACTAAAGTTTGCGTTTTTCTGTTCTGTGCATTCAATTACTAATGCATTCCAATTTTTGTTTACAAAATACTTATATAGATTGGAATTAGATGAGAGCAAATTGGAGATCGACAGTTTTATTATTATGAAAATAATAGACAAAACATATACAAATTTCTGTGACAAAACATATACAAATTTCTATATATATATATATATATATATATATATATATATATATATATATATATATATATATATATATATATATATATATATATATATATATATATATATATATGTATATATACTCACATTTGAGGAACAATTATATGCAGATGACAGTAGCAACGTTAATTTTTTTTAAAATTGAAAAAAGTTTCCCCACCTTTCAATTTTTTATTTTTTCTTATATCGCTCAATGAGGTATTTTCACGAATAAACAATACCATGATAATGATCAACGATCATGTGATGGATAAGAGATGCTTTTCGATTACTTTGAGCCTATTTGTTTACATAACTATAACCTCTCAATCACTGATCTGTATATATTATATCTATGCTCTCAAAAAATTTCCGGCTCATTAAAATGCCTCATTTGTTTAACAATTTAAATTTCAAACTGACTTTTTATGTAATGTTCTCGGCTGCTTTTAAGCACATTTCTGTCAACTGTCTGTTTCTATTTGTTTATAAGGAAAAAACATTTACAGATGGTAGTTAACTTTTTTGTTTTTATTGATCCCAGCTTAAACAGTGGAAACTAGTTCATACATGGGGCAAGTTTAGTAAAAATAATTATTTTATTATTGATATATTTTACTTTCTGTTTAAGGTGCAAACATAAAATATATATATTCTGGAGTATTTTATAACATTTTGGAATATTGTAGATTGATTACCTTGTTTTCAGTACAAGATTGCAAGTCATCCAGAAAAGACATTTTGTCACTTCAATAAAATGTCTTATAGATATTCCAGAAATAGTATAGAATCAAACAGGTGTATCTGGATAAAAAATCTACCCTGTTCTTCCAAAAATAAAAGAAATCCAAAGATTCCATCTGTTGAAAAACTAACCAATCGCACGAGGATGCCTACAAACCGTCAAATTCTTGGAAACTTCACTTTTTTGTTTAATGGCGAGAAACGGCGACTGGATCAAATCAAGATTATGATTACAGATATAAAAAAGCTTTGGGAAGAAATTCTAGACTTTCCACTGTTATCCAGCGCACTCATAAGAAAGTAGCTCAACAGTCTGATTGATTTATTTAACAAAAACAAAAAGAAACCATCTGATAAATTCACTGCAACACTTTCTCAATTATTTAATGTCACTAACGTTAATGGAGAATGGAAAAACACGGAAGTTAAAAAGCTCTACCAGAGGCAAGTTGAGAGTGGAGGAAAGATTGGCTATTCAATGGTCAAACAAGCTCCTCTGGAATCAATCCACCCAAGAAAACGAATCCGACTATCAAAAACTCAATCTCAAGCCAGCTCTTCTAGATTGCATCCCACACAAACACATAAAACTGTCTCAGATTCTTTGGATTCTGAAACTTCTGTTTTCTCACCCGATTCGCAAACCTCTTCTACTACGTCATCTCCTGAATGCAAACCAAAATACCAAAGAGCCAGCACTACAGCAGCTGGTTTACTAGTATTGAAAAACAACATTTCTACACAAAAAGCACATGACGTTCTTGTAACCATTGCTAAACAAGGCCACGATAGGCCAGTTCCTAGTCAGGCGGGTGTCTGGAAAAGAGTAATCTCTGAAGGACAGAAAATGAAAACCAAAATTGCTCAAAAACGTAAGGGTAAAGATCCATATTGTCTCCAGTTTGATGGTAAAAGAGTGCATGGGGAAGAATACCAAGTAGTTCTGCTGAAAAATATGACTACCGAAATCAAACTTGGTATTCTTAAATGTGAGAGAATGGTTCTGCTGCGGCCATTCACAAGAAACTGCATCAGCTAATTGATGAATACAATGCTTGGGAAAATATTTTCATGATAATCTGTGACACGACTGCAGTAAATACTGGTTGTCTGCATGGGATTGTAAAGCTAATAGAAGATGATGTTTTGAGCAAGGGCTTTCAGAAACTACAATATATTGGCTGTCATCACCATGTTCTCGACCTCCTTCTGAAACATGTCATGAATTTTTTTATTAAAGATCCAACGAGCAAACCAGAACTCATTTATTTCTTCATTGATAAATTAACAGAGAATTATGTTTCTCTTCATGTTAACACAGGCAAAAACCCTGCATGGCGAGATGATTTTAAGTTCTTATATGAACTATGTCAAGCGTATTGTCATTACAAAACAACTTCACGCTGGCCTGGAATAAACTGGAAGAAACTCCCAATTGTACACCAAGCAAGATGGAACTCACGTGCAATATATGCTGTTATAGCATTATTCCTGATGCCAGAGTGGCGCACCACCCTCGTTCCAGCATGCAACTTCATCTGCTACGAATGGGCAAATGCTTGGTTCCATTCGCAACACTACAATGAAGCATCCTTCAATGAACTATTAACCTTACTCATCAAGATAAAATGCAAGAAAGCAATTAAGTGTTTAAAGACAGATTGGTCAATTGAGGAGTCATTCATTGATATTTCCAGATCTAACCAAATTGCTGAACGTGCGGTAAAACTGATGGAGGAACTTCTTGAAGAATCAAGAAAATTTGAGTTTTTGAATTTGAAGTTCCTTGGAAAAAATAACTTTTAAACATTTCATGTATATTTTGTACATATAACTAATGTTCTCCATCTTATTTGTTCATAATAGTTGCTATTACTTTTATTATTTTGGATAAAGCTAAAAAACATGTCCTTTTTTGAAAAAAAACAACATTTTTTCATTTTTCTTTTCCTGTGTGAGTAGGGGAACTTTTTTAAAAAACATCAAAAATGCAATTTATATTCTTGAATTACACATAAAGTTTCCTCGATTGCAAGTGGTTTCATAAAATTTTTTTTTTTTGTTATAACCCTAATATATATATATATATATATATATATATATATATATATATATATATATATATATATATATATATATATATATATATATATATATATATATATATATATATATATATTAGGGTTATAACAAATTATTTAGTGGTGTTTTTGTTTTTGTTTTATTAAAAAACATTTTTAAAACATACGTAAATGTTGCTACATCGACTATCTTATAACCTGCTGCTACAAGGGAGTGTTTCTACATCGACTATCTTATAGCCTGACTCGCAACGGAGTGCTGCTACATCGACTGACAAATAGCCTGACTCGCAACGGAGTGCTGCTACATCGACTGACAAATAGCCTGACTCGCAAGGGAGTGCTGCTACAACGACTGACAAATAGCCTGACTCACAAGGGAGTGCTGCTACAACGACTGACAAATAGCCTGACTCGCAAGGAAGTGCTGCTACATTGAATGAGGGTTTGGTTTGGGCAGGCAGTCTATCATTTAAAAAAAAATAAAAAATTAAGGTTTTTAAATTTTTTCTGGTCTGGTTTATTAACGCGCTCTTTAAAACTACAGTTAATGGGAAACTCTTTTTCACTACCATGCAAGAGTATATATATATATATATATATATATATATATATATATATATATATATATATATATATATATATATATATATATATATATATATATATATATATATATATATATATATATATATATATATATATATATATATCTATATATATATATATATATATATATATATATATATATATATATATATATATATATATATATATATATATATATATATATATATATATATATATATATATATATATATATAAACAATTATCATTGTAACTAAAACAAAAAACACAGTCATCTTAATAATAATTCTTAAAATGCCAGCATTTTATTACAATAAGAAAATAAAAAACTTTTTTTATAAGCAGTAAAAACAATGCTCAATTAAAGAAAAGCATGCAAATTTTTTCTAAAAATGAATTAATATTGTTGTGTGTGTGTGTGTGTGTGTGTGTGTGTGTGTATTTATATGTTTCCAAAGTTTCTTTTTGGTACAAAATGTGTAAATATTCTAATAAATTAGACAATTTTATTTAATTTTTATTAAAATCATTTATTTTATAATACATGTTTCGACTATATCATAGCCATCATCAGTTAAAATATATTAAAATGCTTAAATCAAATTATTAAAATTAACTTGAACTAATAGAGACCTTATAATAAAAAATACAATAAAAATGCAATTAAAAAATGTAACAAGTGTTTTAAAAAAGATAAAAGATAAAAGAACCGGTAATGTTAAAAGGCACTAGATTGAAATTGTCATTTTTACATGGTTCATTTGTTTATTAATAGTGGGTTTTTCCCACTCTATGTACGTGCTTTCTTTGAGTTTTAATTTGTTGGAGGCCGAATCCAAGATTGAAAAACTAGCATGATTAAAACTATTAAAACAGCTTTCATTTGAATGAATATGTTTATAAATGTGTGAGTTTTTATCCCTGTTTTGGTGCTTGATTATTCGTGTCTTTAAATGGCGAGTAGTTTTGCTAATATGACAGGATTTACAGCCTGCGCATTCAAATTTATAAACAACAATTAAATAAAAAAAGTCTAAAAAGTCTGTAGGAAAGGGATCTTTTGTGGAAATTTTTTTTTGAAATTTTAAATGAAGTAAAAACCAATCTTACGGTGAACAGTTGTCAAAATCTTTTAATGACTGCGTTTAGACTTTGTTTGGTTAATTTCAATCTAGTTCCTTTTAACATTACTGGTTCTTTTATCTTTTTTAAAACATTTGCTGCATTTTTTAATTGCATTTTTATTGTATTTTTTATCATAAGGTCTCTATTAGTTCAACTTAATTTTAATAATTGATTTAAGCATTTTAATATATATATATATATATATATATATATATATATATATATATATATATATATATATATATATATATATATATATATATATATATAAATTAGTAAAAACACTTATCTAAATTTCTTTTTCATTTTGTTTCACCTTTAGCAAGTTTATCATGAAGCTTTATCATGAACCTGCTGAAAATGAAATTGACTCGAGAAGAAATTTAGATAATTTTTTTTTCTTATTTATTATTGCTCTGTTCTTAAAGAATATTAAGCAATCTATTTTTAGAATACATTAACTTAACTTATATTTGTTATTAGTTTGATAAATGTTGAATAAAAGCAATGACTATTGGTCGACATTTCCTGTGTTCTATTAAACACGATGAAGTGTCTGGTGAAAAGAGCGTTTTGTTACAACGTCGAAATAATAATGAAGTTTTGTTATTGCATCACAAGGTTGCAAGCATTTTATGTGAGTATCTTACTAAATATGATTTTGGTAGAAACTCTTTACAATTATAAAAACTTTTCATTACATTTAGGTTATCATTTTTCATAAGGTTTTATTTTGGATTTAATAAGAAATAAATACTTTCAGAGTCATCCACTTTTTGTCTTATGGAGATCAGAAGTCCCAAATATTCTATAATTTTTTAATACTGAACTTACTCCTGCTGTTGCACGCACCAATGAACAAGATCAACTCATTTGTGCATGTTTGCACAGAATTCATGAAAGCCATTACACTCGAGTTAATGGCAAAAAGAGTTTCAACAGTTTTTTTTTATAAGAAAATGTGAATGAAAGTGTAAGCAAGTATCTAACTTAAGTAAAACTCAAATTATGTATTGTTAAAACAAATATTAGCTTTTACAGTTTTACTTTTACTTGAAAACTAGATTGTGGTAACATCTCCTTACTTTTGATAAAGTGTTTTGTTTAATAAATAATGTTAATACATTTTTTGAACAAAACATCTTGGTGGCCAAAGTGGTTAGCTTGCAGCATTTTTTGAACTAAATCACAGTGGTTCAAATCCTCGCGCTTGCACATTTTTTCAAATCTTATTTAATTATTAAAAAATTAATTTATAAAGCAAAATAAAACATTTTTGAGGTTCTTTAGATATTATATACATAACATATAAGATATTATATACTATAAAAAAGGGAAAGGAGAGAGTTTTTTGAAAAGCTTAAAATTTATAAAAACATCAAAATACTGGAAGAAATTTATTGCCCATATGTCATGATAGAGATACTTATGTTGTTAATGTAAGCCCATCCTGCTATTCTAGAAGGTGCTGCTGTGTAGGCAAAAATAAAAATGAAGTTCCTTGTAGCTAGCATAAACTTTAAAATTTTATTTTAACAACTAAAAGTCTTTTTTGCTATACTTATTTTTTTTTGCTAGAAATACATATGGCCAGATTAAAAAAATTTTAATCTGGCCATATATCATTATCAGAGTCTTTTTTTCTGACATGCTAGAAAGTGGCATCTGTTATCCCTGTTATCAAAATCCTCGAGAGCGATCAGATTCGTCTAACTACTATCCCATTAGTCTTTTTCCTAGCAAGCAAGGTTTTTGAATCTTTTATAAAGAAACTCTTAATCTCTTATTTTGAAAACTTGCTTTCTGATCATCATTATGGATTTCTATCTTATCGTTCTATAGCTGATTTGTTAGCAGTAATAACCGATAGTTTTTATTGTGCATAAGACAAAGGTGGAAAGGTTAAGGCTATCGCTCTTGACATTTCTAAAGCTTTTGATAAAGTTTGGCATGCTGGTCTTCTCCATAAGCTTTATACAGTGTATCTGGTAACATCTTTAAGATGATTGATTTCTTCCTTTCCAATCGGAGTATAAAAGTTGTGCTCGATGGAGATCACTCTTCTTCTTATCCCGTAACTTCAGAGGTTCCTCAAGGTTCAATCCTTGGCCCTATACTATTTTTAATTAACATTAGCAATCTTCCAGATGTTCTCGCATCCAAGGTGGCATTATTTGCTGATAATACTACCATTTATTCTTGTCATGATAAGAAATCAACACTCTCAGATTGCTTGGAGGAGGCATTTGAGCTTGAAATGGATCTCACTTCTTCTATAGCATGATGTTCACAGTGGCTTTAATTCTTTAATTCTTTAAAATTCTTTAAAAACTTTAATTCAGATAAAACTCAATTTTTTTAAGCCAATTGTTATCGCAATAATTTAGATCTTCATATATTTATGAACAGTAATTTACTCGATGATTAGTGAATGACCCGGGTTGATATATGATTGGGGCCAGGGCCGGGTTGGATAAAATATAGCCTGGGCTGGGGCTTGGTTTGTGACTAGGGCTGCATAAACATTTATACATCCTAAAGTATATATTTTTTATTTAAAATTTATGTTATTATTTGAATATATATGCATATATAAACATCATTATGATCAAGATGATCATCATAATCATCATTATTATTATCATCATCATGATTTTCATTATCATCATCATCATCAACAGCAAAAATGTGGAAAGCTTTATGATGATGATGACAATTATGATAATGATCATTATCATTATCATCATCATCATTATCTTTATTTTTATCATCATCATCATCATCATCATCATCATCATCATCATCATCATCATCATCATCATCATAAGGCTTTAGATTTTCTATTTCAAGCTGTTTCTCTAATATAAACAATTTTGAGCATTTTTATTCTTAACTGAAGCTCATTAATACAATATGTAAGGGACTTTTCAAATTTTCTTACTTCTATCACAACCATTTTCTACTGAAGCTGCTACCACTCTACATGTTGATACCTAAATTACTTTAACCTTATATAACAAACATTATTTGATTTAATTTTTTTCTCTAATCTGTCTAAGATTATGCCTCCTTTTCTTGTCTTGCTAGATTCACACCACACATCTATATGATCTTTTTATCTTTCAGCAAATACTACACTGTATAAATACTAAAGTTTGTATAATAATGAAAGGATATTGTTTGCCAGCATCTAAACAAATAGCAAACAGATATATTTATATCCATAATGTGTGTGCAAAAAGTTCATCTTGGAAGCTTTTATTGCTTCTGGAGAAAAAGTTTGGAAGATTTTATTATTTCTCTTCAGTTTTAAGTCAAGCCTCATTCTACTCCATATTTTTCAACATTAATCACTTTTTTATCTTTTTTATAAGAACATCTCTCTTAAGAACAATTGTCCTTTTTATTATTGCAGTAAGCTAATGTATAAATAAAGTCCTGTCTAATGTAAATCTCTGTTATTCTCAGTTTACTAAATCTTCTATCTTATCTCAGGTATTAGGTTCTAGAGACTTTTGGTTAGTTTTCAACAGTTTCATTAACTAAAGTAAGTCTAACGTTTAATCTCTAATTCATGGGTCTGATCTTTTTTTTTTACCCAGAATAAAGCAGAGCTATTTACAAAGAAATCTTACTCTAGTTTGACTCTCGAATATAACGGCCATACTCTTCCTGACAGTTAATCAGATTAACCCATTGTTAAACATTGAAATTACTCTAGCTTCCCATACTAAAATTAATTCTCGTATAAACACTTCTACAGTTTGTTCTTAAAATCCACAATTTTTGTTAGACAACAAAGCTCATTTACTAAAAAAAATATTGCAATATTGTTGGCATTCCAATAATGACAAATAATAACCCTCTTACTCTCAGGCAAAGTCTAAAAGCACATTGTAAATGTAATTAGACCTGTTTTATCTGTCAAGCCTGAGCCACTTTCCCATTGTTATTAGGTTACATTCTTCTTCTTAAGGTCTTTCTTTTTACTAAAAATACTTTCAATCTTTCTTGGAAACCATATATCAAATCAGTTGCAAAATTAGCATCTGCTAAGGTTGCATCTCTTTATCAAGCTCAACACTTTTTTTCTGGATTCTAAATCTCAAAATCAGCCTTTTATGGAATACTGTTGCCATATCTATGGCGGATCTTCTAATGATGCCCTTTCTCTTTTAGACAAGGTGTAAAGACGCATTGTAAACATAGTTAGACCTGCTCTTGCAGCCAACCTCCAACAATTATCACCTTGTCGTAATATTGCTTCTCTTTCTCATTTCTACAAATACTATAGTGGGCACTGCTCTAAAGAGATAGCAGCTTTTGTGCTATCAACTAAAATTCATTCTCGTTTTACTTGTCATTCAATTATGTCTCATCCTTTTTCTGTGACTGTTCCTAAGTGCTTTAAAATCTCTTATTTGTCTAGTTTTTTTTCTCGAACATCAGTTCTTTGGAATTTGTTTTCTTTATCTTGTTTTCCTGATTCATAATTTGTAATTTTTTAAGTCATCTGTCAATTGTTATCTTGCTCTACAATCTTTATCTTTTCTCTTCCAGTAACTTCCAACTCTAATAGTGGTTGCTTGCAGCCTTGTTGGAAGCGAAGATGTTAAATTATTAACTTTTTTTTATTAATTTAATGTTTTGTTTAAATTAAAAATAACTGGTTGATCATTAATATATCTATGCAAACAAATATATTTTTAATAGTATTATGGTAAAAATTATTATGTATAGTTTTCTTTTTATAATTACTTAACTAATATACTTAGCATTTGTGTCTAGCTTTTAACTTCATCATTCTAGTTAATATTTGTATATGGTTCTTTTGATTTCCTTTTAAATAGATTTTGTATGAAATTTTTGTTGTTGTTGGCAATATTCTGTTAAAGTTAGTTTCTTTTTTAACAAAAGCATTTCAAATTTTTTTAGGTCCAGATGAATTTGAAGCCATAAAACGTCATTTTGTCAAGAACTTGGAAGCTTATGCTTGCCTCGGCGTTTTAAAACTCTATGTAGGTAGGTATATTTGTATTTATATATGATAGTTCTATTTCATTTTAAAATTTTAAGAAAAAATTATAAATTATGGTTGCTATATTTAGGTATTATAGATGTTTAGAAATGTAGGTGGGTTTAAGTATGCAAAAATAATTATGATAATTATGTTGCTAATTATAAGTGTTTGTTTTTATTGGTATTTTTGAGAGCTGGACAGTAGCGCAACTTAATTTACAGTTTTGCTAAATGCAGTTGCTCGATTAGGAAGCTGATAATGCAACCAAAAAAATATCATGAGGTTGCTACCATTTAAGTATAGCAAATAAGTTCTAGTTTTCTAATCTACATAAAAAGTTGACTTTTTAATTTACTTTTTACATAAAAAGAGTTGACTTTTTTTGTTTACTAAAAATTAGGTGAAAGGAAAGTAATGGTGAAAAATGGCAAAGTAAAATAATGGTGTTATCATTATAATCTTAGTTGGGATTAATTTGATTAATGTATTTTGAAACCTCTGTCACTTCTTATGTCTACAACTAGCTCTATGTATTAAACAGTGGTTAATCTTTATATTAAGTTAAACTTTTAAATATACAACAGGGCTTGAATTAATGGAAAAAAATCTAATTGCAAAAAAAAAAAAGATCCCCCCCCCCATCCCTTGCACTGCTTTGCGGTAATGGGAAGGGGGGGGGGAGAGAGTTGCATTTGTATAAAATTGTATCTTTTGTACATTATTTCGTAATTTTTTTAACATATCTCTCATATTTAAATTTTATCTTATAGTTTTCTCGTTTGGCGGAGTTTAAAATAGTGTAAGTTACTGTTATAATTTACAGCATAAGTTATAATTTAAGTTACAGTAATACTGTAATGGAGCAAGTAACGCATTTAATACTATCAAGGTATTACTTTTAGTAATTGTTTTTACTTAACATAATACTTAAAAAAGTAAAAGTAAAACAGTAAGAGTAAAAACACAAATATTACAATATTTAAACCACCTTAATTAGTCATACAAAACTATTTAATACGTTCATGCTAACGATAAAAAAGGTGTTATTTTTTAAGAGTATATAGTTGTAATTGTGAAAAGCTAAAACAACAATAAAACAAACTGCTAAGTTGTTTTAACAATATAAAGAGCTTGTGTTAATGTAAAACAACTTCGTGACACTTTATTGCTGTTGTATACTTAATTTTAATAACTTAAAATGAATTTAAAATAAAAAAAGTCAACAAATTGTTCTAATTGTGTTATAACATTATCGTCATAAAACTTTAAACTTCATATTTGCGCAAAAAACATGCCATATCTTTAGACCAAGATCAAAGCAAAAAACATTAGATAACACATTTTTTTATAATTTACAGTTTCTTGATCTAGCGTACTATTGAAAATTTAAGTAAAATTAAGTTTTTTATTCAAATGGTTTTTAGATTAATTTCATTCAATATTTCATTCAAATTGTTTTGCAATAAAAAATAAAACAAAAAAAATTTGATTTATAAAATCGAATTATATTTCCTAAAGTTTGAGATTATGCTTAATTTATTTTTTATTTAAAAAATTTTTTTGAACAGAAGTAAAATAATTTATAAATTTTAATTTAAATTTTTTATAATTTTATTTTTGTTTTAACTTTTACATCACTGGTTTAATGTTTGCAATAAAATGTTTCTACTTTTAAAATGTTTTTTTCAAGTAACTAAAGTTAGTTAATTATTCAAAACATTACGATTTAAATAAAACTTTCTTCCTCACTTGCACTATGTTCTAAATCTGATACTGTTACTGTAGCTAGATATATGTTTAACTTTCCGCAACGATTCTCGCTATGCTGGGTATTACTGAAGCCGTTGAATTAAGTTTATAATTATTGAGCGTTAAAATTATTTTAAATTTTTCTAATTTTTTTTTTAATTTTAAATTTTTATTGCAAAATTATTTGAATAAGAGAATTTTAGTCAACCTAAAATCTTTTGTTTAAATAGGTTTTGTTTTTAAATAAAATTCCTATAAACAACTTGCGTATTTAAAGAAATTCTTTGATCTTAATATCGCTTTAAATAAAAAAAATAAAAAAATGGTATCACATTTTTTAAATTCTATTCAAGATTTCTTGTTAAAATAATTTTTAGTTAGAAGCTTATATTATGTGTTAACATTATATAAAATATAAATAGATACATTAATATAGCTAATTTGTGATTTAGTTTATAGGTAAATTTACTGTGATGTACTTTATTCATTCATTAAATCAAACTAAATGTAACTTTAAGACAATATTTCACGCAGAGATTTAAAGTAAATTAAATTCAAAGGCACTTTATGTTGAATAAAATCTCTGTGCAAGAGAGCAAAAAAAATACTTCCATTTAAAAAATAAATACTTCCATTCAAAAAATAAATTTAGTGTGATGTATATGAGCTTTATGAATATAAACTATATGACCTTTATGAATAAAAAACTTTACGAATAAAAAAACTCAGATTAAAACTTTACTTTTTAAGAATGGCCACAAAGAAAAGGTAAGTTTAAAAAGAAAAAAATTAACAAAAAACAAACAAACATAAAAACAAATCGCGAAAATATTATTTTTAAGAAAAAACGTCAATGTGAGAAAAGCAATCTTGATATATATTATCTTATTGGAATTTTGTTATGCAATTTTGCATAACCAAAACCTAAATAATATATTTTCAGTCCTATATATATATATATATATATATATATATATATATATATATATATATATATATATATATATATATATATATATATATATATATATATATAAATATATATATATATATAAATATATATATATATATATATATATATATATATATATATATATATATATATATATATATATATATATATATATATATATATATATATATATATATATATATATATATATATATATATATATATATATAAGTGCGCGACTAACTGGCTAACATGTGAATGTCTGCTTAAAAAAAAAGCAGAAAAACAAATGTCACGTTCCTTTACTTTTCCTTACACAAATGTTGATGTAATTAAGCAATTGATTGTTTTTTATTTATTATAAAAAACACATACTTGCAATTAAAAAACAATTAATTACAAAAATTTTAAACGCAATTTCAAAGACTTTAATAAAAACCACGCTAAAACTACTTTCTTCAATGGAACAAAGAAAGTAATTATGTTTGAGTATGGTTTTTGTATGGGTTTACAAAAGCATTCAAAATTTACTTAAAATGAATGCATTTGCAATTATTTTTAAAAAAACTATGCTTAAACTTATTGATTGCTTTCTTCAATGCTTTTTTTTTCTTATTTTCCTTAAAGTCAAAAAAACTTCTAAAAGTTTTTAAAATAATTTTCAAGTTTTGCTAAAAAATACAAAATCTAATTGAATATATAAAGTTATCATGTTTATTTTTTTATTGTGCATTTTTTATTAATTTTAATTTTTTCATTGTGCATTTAACAACACCAATAGTATGATATTTTTATTAACTTATTATTGAATAATTAATATACTATTATTTGACATTTAAAAAATGTCAAAATAATTAAACATTTTTTTGATGTTAAAGAAAGATGGTACAGAAGAGCGTAGCATTAAATGCAAAAGAGAAGAAGAGAAAGAAACTAAGCATGCAAAAAAAAAAGTGCAATGACTTGGATTGTGCTATGACTTTGGGAAAATTGGATATATGACCGAAAGATATTGAATTTATGTTTTGGAACACTGTAAATGGATTGTAAATCAAATAAGTGTTAATCTTGTTGGGTTTGCCAAAAGTATGCAAATATTAGCAATGCAACCTATTCAGTAACAATTGGATATAAATTTTGGAAAAGAACATACTTGTTACGCTACAATAAAGATGATGGGCATAAAGCCTGTATTTCTTAATATCAAGAGAACCTTCACAATATCAAGTCTTGAGAAAATTGTATCGACATCAATTTTAAGAACTACTGGGAATAACCAAGAAGAATTGAACAGACTTTTTCGAATATCGTATTTTGTTATTAAAGGGATCCCAAACTCCCAACGCATGTTGTGTTCATATTAAAGATAATGTTAAAAAAAAAGGTTTGAATCAAGTTTTTTTGATTAAAAATAAATAATGAATGCATACCGAGAAAAACTAATGTTGTTGTTTTAGCCGAAGCTCGCCTTCTCCATTTTTTTGAATAACTCGGAGTCTTTAAATTATACGTCGCAATCTACAGACTTTGGCGATTCCTTCGAAGGGCGTTTAATTCATAAAAGTTTTAGCATTTGACGTCACGGTAGTATTATATATTCTGGATCTTACTTATTTTTATTTAAACAATGGGAACTTTTTTCTAACTACTCTGGTTATTTTTACGCTATGATATTTTTTCTTTTCCCGTCGAAAAAAAGTATTAACAATTAATTTCGTAAACTGACAGTATTAATTAGAGATATATGATGAATTGTTAACTTTTTTATTATAAAAATTTTTTGATTACGCTGATTTATTTTAAGTTGCTAAATTTGTTAAATTGGATACAGATAAAAAGGAAATATCATTTTATCTTACATTTGATTTTTGATAATGAAACTTTTAAAATGTCGGCAACTCCATACCAATGAGAGCCTGTTAAGGTTATGAAAAAAAAGTACAAGAATACACTAAACAATACAGTTGACAGTAGTATCAGATATGCAAATTCGTGAAAGGATATGTGAGATCTTGGTTTTGCATTAAAAGTACAATTAATAACAACACGAGTCGGCATTATAAATTTTGATTATTAGTTTACTGTTCAATATTTTATAACCATCAAATAAAAACATGAAGTTTGTATATTTTTGCTTGTTTTATACAACTAATATTTAACAAAAATATGGACAAATTATTTTTATATAACGCAATAATTAACACATTAGTTAATGGCAATAATTCAAGGTAATTTAAATTGTCAAAATGTCATAACGCGCGTTAAAAAACATTATATATGGTATTTCCTAATTTGTATCGTATTTGGCATTTGTCTCTTAACATAAAAAATTAAAAAATTTTAAAACACAACAAAACAAATTTTCAAGCAATTTTCTCTTCCAATTTTCATTTATTCAAAGAAAAGTTACTATTAAACTTTTATTTCTCTCATCTAAAAAAAAAACGAGTGACACAAAAAAAACATATATATATATATATTTTTTTTTTGCGAAATAAGTAATTAAACTTCGAATGAATAAAAGAGTTGTATAGAATATATATATATATTCTATACAACTCTTTTATTCATTCGAAGTTTAATTACGCAAAACTTTTCTTTCTCTTTTGTTCTACTCTTTTATAAAAAGAGCGAGCAATGAAATAAAAACCTTTCTTTCTTAACATAAATTTATACTTAGAGATAAAATTAAATTGGAAATAAAGCAACAATGAACAAAGCAATTAACAGATTAATCTGGGATTATTTTGATATTAATGAAAATAATCAACATAAACAACATTATCAACAGCAATTATCAAATAAACAACACAATATCGCATAATTTTAGGAGCTTTATATTTTTATTGCTTAGTCGTTCTAAATAATAAATAAATTTAGTTCAA